CCCCCGGGGCTCCCCCCGCTGCCCCCGGGGCTCCCCCCGCTGCCCCCGAGCCGCACTCACACGGCGGGCCCTGCAGCCGGCCCAGCAGCTCGGACACCGATCGCTTCTTGGCCCGAGCCGCGGCGCTGAGGCTCTCGCGGTCCAGGAGGAGCAGGAAGGAGCGCAGGTCCGCCAGCAGCTTGTCCAGGTCTGCAGGGGACAGGGACGGCGACGTGCCACCGCGCCCTCCAGGCACCGTGTGGGCACGGGTGCCCATCGCTGCCCCCGCACTGGGCACGGCTGGGGGGCCCCCGATGCCATGGGGGGCCCCCGATGGCCTGTTGATGTCCCCGATGTTATGGAGTGTCCCTGATGCCATGGGAGGTTCCCCGACGACATGGGAGTGACCCCGATGCCATAGGGAGTCCCTGATGCCATGGGGGTGTCCCCAGTGCCTTGGGGATGTCCCCCATGCCATGAGGAGTCCCCGATGCCATGGGGGGGGTCCCCTATGTTATGTATGGGGTGTCCCTGATGCCATGGGGATCCCCGATGCCATGAAGGTGTCCCCCATGCTATGAGGGGGTCCCCGATGCCATGAGAGGTCCCCATTGCTATGGAGGTGTCCCCGATGCCTTGAGGATGTCCCAATGTCTTGGGAATGTCCCTGATGCCATGGGGGTGTCCCCGATGCCATGGGGGGTACGTGCCCACTCCCACCGGCCCTGCCCCGCTCCGGCACCTGCCCCGGCCGGGCACAATCCGGCCATTGACGGGTGCGGGGGGATCGGGGGAGGATGAGGAGGGGGCCCTGCGGGGATGAAGGCTCCTCTGTTGCGCTCACAGAGCCGGTTTGTTCCCGTCGGACCGGGGCAGCCGCGGCCGGGGCTGCACTGCTGCTCCGCGTGCGGAGGAGGATGAGGAGGAGGAGGAAGGGGAGCCCTGGCAGGCTGGAGCAGCTGATGAAGGCTGACATGCCCGCCATTCACCCACCGAGGGCGGGGCAGCGGTCGGGACACAGCGCCAGGAGGGGACCTCGGCTCTGCCACGCCGGGAAGGACAGAAGGACAAGGACAGAGGGACAAGGAGATGCTTTGTGCCTGGAGCAGGGGCAGCGGGAGCGCCGGGCCAGCAGCTCCGCCACCCGGCGCTCCCCCGCGAGACTCCGGGCACGGGGACCTCTGTCCCTCTGTCCCTCTGTCCCGCTGTCCCTCTGTCCCCCCGTCCCGCTGTCCCTCTGTCCCCGTGGGGGCAGTCTGGGGCCCAGGCAGGTGCTGCAGAGCAGGACCAGGGGTACCCCCAGTCTGTCGCCTCTCGCCGCTCCCGCAGGGCCCCCCCGCCCCGGGCACCTCCCGGTGCCACCACCGGCGCGGGCAGGGGTCCCTCAGTGCCCGGGGTCGCTGCCCGGCTCCCCCCGGCCCCTTCCAGCCGCTCATCCGGAATTGGTTTGGAGCTGGGATCAGACATTCCCGACCCGCTGCGGGAACCCAGCACAGCCTGGCACAGGTGCCAGCTGCGCCCGCACCACCCTGCTCCCTGCCCGAGTCCCCCTGCCACCCCCCAGCCGGATCGGGACAGTCCCGGTGGAGCCACCCCAGCCGGGGTGCTCCTCCCGCAACGCCCCGGTGACCCCACATCGCCGAATCCCAAATTTCTCCGGGTTAGCAGGGATGCGGTGCGCCCCAAAAAGGGGGGGGCACCCCCTGGGTGAGGCGAGGGCAGGAGCCCCCCTGTGTGTGACAGGGGCCGGGGTGAAGCCCCCTCCCCGGGGGTGCTGGCACGGGGCACCCCCGTCCCCTCCGCGTCCCCGGACGGGGAGCACACACCCTGCCCGGGGGGACAGGAAACATCTGGCAGCGCGGCCCGGCTGAGCAACGCCGCAGCTGGGCCCAAACATCTGGATTTCCCTGGAAACCGGGGAAGGGAAGGGGGGGAAGAGCTCCCTGCGGGGAAAGCGGCGGGGGCTGCGGCAGGGGCGGGCTGCAGGGACCCGCGGGCGGCGCGGGGCACACGGGGACTGTCCCCCCTGGCCGGCGGGGCTGGCTCTAGCCCTCCCTCCCTTTCTGCTCTCCTCCGCCCAGGCCGAATTCCTGGGCAATGACATCTCCGTCCACTCGGCCTTTTGCCCTCGCTGCCCCCACCCCGCTCCCCCCGGCCGCGGTGCCCTCGCTGGGGCGGCGATCCGTGCCCGGCCGTGCCCGGCCGTGCCCAGCCGTGCCAGCAGCCGGTGCAGGGCGGGCAGGGGCCGCCCTGAACCCTGGCCCGGTGCCCGTTCCCGCTGCCGTGCCAAGGGAAAGCGGCCGGGATGGAAAACATCTGCCTCGGTCTCCAGGGCGGGAGGAAAACGCCCCCCAAACACACACAGAGCGTCTCCTAGCAGAGCTCCCTCTCCCGCGGGACGCGTCCCGGCACGGTGGCATGCTCCTCATCCTCGTGCCGTCATCCTCACCCTCGGGGGAGGAGGAGGAAGGACGGCGCGGCCCCAGGGATGCCACGGGAACGCGCAGTGCCCGGGTGATGCCAGCAGATTTTATCTTCGGGGTTTTATCCATGCCGTGGGGCGTCCGGGGGGCGCGGGGGTGACCCGGGGGACCCCGGGGGTGGCTCTGACCCAGCGCGGGATGACTCAGAGCAGGCTGCAGGGAGCTGCTCGCGGCCGCAGCGTGACTCGTCATGTGCGGAGGCTCCGGGCCACGGCTGCAGGGTGGGGACGCTCCCCCTCCCCCGGCTGCTGCACCCCCAAATTGCCCCTGGGAGGCCGATGGAAGGGGCGCTGTCCCCCCTCCACCCTGCCATGGCACCCCAGTGTCGGGGGGGACACCCCGTCCCTCCTTGTCCCCTCACGTCCCTTCCCCTCAGCCCCCACCACCCCCTTTTCTCCCCCTCCTCTTTCCCCGAACCCCTTTTCCCCCCGTTTTTGAGTTCGTGCCCCAGCCCCGCATCGCTTCGAGCCCCCCGTACCTCGCAGGATCCGGCGTTGGGACCGGGATCGAGATCAGGAGCGGACCGGGATGGGGACTGGGACCAGGATGGGGACCGGGATCGGGATCAGGATCGAGACGGGGACCGGGACGGGGATGGGGATCAGGACCAGGACAGGAATCGGGATCGGGATCAGGACAGGGATCGGGATCCGGACCGGGATCAAGACCGAGACCGGGATTGGGATCGGGATCCAGATGGGGACTGGGATCGGGGTCGGGACTGGGATCAGGACAGGGATCGGGATGGGGACCGGGACCGGGGCAGCCCTGGCCCGGCCCGGCCCGGCCCGGCCCGGCTCGGCTCGCACACGCCCTGCGGGCCCCCAGCACAGCCCGGCCGGGGCGGGAGGAAGGCGGGGAAGGCTCCGCGTCCTCCTCGGAGCAGCACCGCCATCTGCAGGGACCCGGGCTCGCTCCGGGGGGATTTTTGGACGAGAGGGGGAAGCAAAGCTGCGCAGCCAGGCTGGATAAAGCCATTTCACCTTTAATTGTAAGCAAAAAATCACTCTCACGCGGATTCTCCGACACCAGCAAATAAAATAAACTCTAACAAAAACAGAGAAAGTGAATCACTGTAGTCCAGTCCGAAAACAACCCATATTTATATATATATTTATAGATATGTCGTTTGTAGCAGTGAAAGGCAAGTATGGGCCAGTGAATTCCCGATAAATTACATTCTTTACATCCCAACAAGGTCTAGCGGCTGGAAAGTGGCTGGAAACAAAAACCGGGGAGCGTGGAGGGGCCGGGGGGTGCGGGGAGAGAGGGGTCCTGCCCAAAACGTGTGCCTGGAGAGGGGAGGGGGCGAGGGAAGGCGCCGAGCCCTGTCGGCATGGCCGGGAGGGGACGGTGGGAGCCGCGGTGCCATCGAGCCCTGCTCCAGCCCACTGCCCAGCTCATCATCCGTGCCAGCTCAGCGCCCTCCTGGGCCCCCAAAATCATCACAGCTGTGCCCCCCAAATCAGTGCCCTCCCGTGCCCCCCAAATCATCACACCTATGCCCCCCAAATCATCACTCCAGCACCCTTCTGTGCCCCCCAAATCATCACTCCAGTGCCTTCCTGGGGGGGCTGGGGGGGGAGGTTAAGCTGGGATTTGGGCCTGGCTTTGCCGGGAGAGCGTCGGTGTGGCAGTGTGAGCCCCCAGGTTCCTCCCCAGCCTCAGGGTGGGGCACAGGGGCACCTCGGGGGGCACCCCGGGGTGGGTGCTGGGGGCAGCGGACCCCCGGGGAGGAGGGGACCCCCCAGAGCCCCCCTGGCAGAGCCGAAAGCAGAGCCAGGCACGTTCAGGGGGAAAAAGGGGGGCACAAAGCCCAGAGACCCCCCCAGCCCTCCCCTCCTGGCAGAACCATGCCCGGCCCCCCGTGCCAGGCGGGCTCGGTGCCCCCAGCCCCATCTGGCAGCAGGAGAGGGGCGGGGGGGGGGCAGAT